TTAGAAGAGAAAAAGTACTTTTAAAAAACCCTAGGAAAAGAAAGTTTAAAAAAAAAAAAAAAAAAAAAATGGGTTTGGCTGGGGTAAGAAGACAGCCATGTTTTACAGTGGGAAATATTAAGATCCCCCATGGCAGACTATCTTTGAATACCCATTTATCCGTAGGGGCCATGGGTCCCACAGGTTGAGCCAATTACTCTGTGCCATGGTGCTTCCCATACACAACACACATTGTCTGCTCAGCTGTCATCTTGGCTAGTCTCAGAATCTGCAACACATTCCTCATCTCTGGTTTTAATCTCATGCCCTTTACCTAGGAATGTCTTTCCCATTCCTCCTCTTTCATTATGCAAGTCTCATTTAGAATGCCAAGAATTTCGTGAAGCTCCTTGGAGACCCCTTCAAAAATGACCTTCTGCACTCCTCTGGCATTCCAGGTGGGTCCCTAGCATGACACTTGTTTTATGACATCTCATGTTTCTGTAATCCTTTCTATTAGTTTTCTGTTTGCCCACTCCAAAAGAAGCACTCAAAATATTTAAGGCAACTAAAAGCACCACAGAAGGAAGTTAGGGCTGGGGATGTGGCTCAGTGGTAAAGAGCTTGCCTGGCACACGCATAAGGCCCTGGTTCAAATCCCCCAGCATCAAAAAAAAAGGAGAAATTCAGTCAAGACTCATCTTTAGCTAAAATTCTACACATTGAAATAAAGCTGGGCTGGAGTTTATCTCACCTCCAGTCCTTCTATGCTCTGCTTTGTGATGCTGTTGGGGAGAGTCAATAAAAGACAGAAATATATTCCCTAGACCAGCTTCCCACCAGCTTCCAGATAGATTCTGCTAATCAGAAGGACCATTATGAAATCAGAATGCAGGGAGATGGGAGAAGCCATTCTTTCTATGCAGATGTCTCTCCTCCTTCCTTCTTAGATGTGTCCCTGGGGGCCATGACCATTCCAAGTACAATTGCAAATAAAAATAGAGGGCATCCAATCAAATTTAAGTTTAAAATAAGTAATGAATACTTCTTACTATAAGTGTGTCTCATACAAATAATTGGAATATACTTACACAAAAGCATGATTTGTTGTTTATTTGAAATTCAAATTTAACTGGGAGACTTGCATTTTATCTGGAAACCCTAAGTATAAAGTCCAAGTATTTTACTTTATCTATCTTCATCTGCCCCCCTTTTAGCGGGGTGCAGCCCCTTTCTAAATCTTTGGGGATTCTGCTGCATAAAGTGAATTGCTTTGGGGGCTCTCCTTATTGTCAATTTAGGATTCAGGTTTCTCCAGTATGTTAAGTTGGTTATCTTCTGTCTTTTTATTTCCATATGCCTTCTCATTTCCAAAAATTGTTTTCTGTTTTCTTCTTTGTTTCTTTTTGTCCTTGTTGTTTTTCACTTAGTACAAAGAAACAACTTCATAGTCCTTATAGAATTATAATATGAAAATATTATGAGCTTTTAGGAAGTACCAAAATAGATGCAAATATGCTATCAAGCACCTTTTTAAGCAAGTCTCTCTATATTTTTAACATTCCTAAAATTTTTTCTTTGACTATTGTTTCACATTAGCGTCTTCAAATTTACTTCATTTTTTTCCTCTTAATGCCTCTAAGTATTCCCTGTGCCACGGTTTTTGTGCACCATAATTTACTACTGAACTAATTTTTATTGAATAAATGATAAGTTGTTGGTGGTTTTTGACAGTTATTAATAAAGACTATTTCTTTCCTCCCTAAATGTGCCTAGATATGTGCCTAGATGTGAAACGGTGATGTATGAGTGATGGAATGACTAACGGATGTGATTAGCTGGTTAATAGTTTCTCTTTTGATTGTTGGCAATCGAAAGTAAAAGTTACTAGTTTTTGAAGTAGAAAGTAAAATAATTACCCTATTCCCCTGTTATATCCTTCCAGAATTAGAGTAATTTGTATCTTTAAGATCATACTGTATATTCTGTTCTGCAGACTTCACCCAAAATGGATTTTAGAATCTAGCAAAATGCTTCCTTTAGCATCTATGAAGATGCTCATATTTTTTGTTTTAGGTAAGTCAATGGAGTATCTTTTCCAGCAGTGACCCATTCTTGCATTCTTAGTATAAAGTCCACTTTGGCATGTGCTTTTTCTGTTATTAGACTTTACTAATGATTTTTAGCACTGATATTCATAAGCAAGATTAAACCATAATTTTATTTGTACTTAACTGGGTTTTTGTTATACTAACATCTGAAAGCATATTAAAAATTTTGTTATCTAGGTCCTAGAAAAATTTGAAGTGCAGTGAATTAGAATTTGATTTTGAAGATTTTTGGGCTTATTGGTGTATGTAGACAGTGGTGGTGGTGGTAGAAATAAAACTTTATTTCTTCTATGGCAATTAATTTGTTTAGGTTTTATCTTTTCGAATAAATCATTGAATATTTTAAGTCTCACCACTGTATTAGGCTCTTCAAATATAATGACATAGAATTGGACACATTTGTCTCCATTAATTAAATTCTTCTATGTACTTATGCTTCTATTTGGGTTTTTAAAAAATATTTTTTAGATGATGATGGACCTTTATTCATTTATTTATATGCAGTGCTGAGAATCAAACCCAGTGCCTCATACATGCTAGGGAAGCACTCTACCACTGAGCCACAACCCCAGCCCTCTATTTAGTTTTATATAAGGTTTCACCTAAAACTATCTGTTTATTTACTAATTCTATTTTTCCTTATTTTCTACCAACTTATTTTCCTTATATGTTGAACAAATTATTTTTGTTATTTCTGTACTAGAAGAAAATGGAAAACTGAGGAATTACGAGATGAGTTAAACTTTTGTCTATAAAAAGTGAAGCAGTTTGTCTATAAGTGAAGAGAAACAGGCACATAAGAACAATCATTATTTTTTTCTGGAAGACTGTCACTATATTTTTATACTGATAAAGATCATTTGATACAGAGGAAATTAAATGGTGCAAGAGAATGGTTAATCATGGGGGCAAAGTCCTTGAGTAGGCACACATACATGGCAAGAGTAGGCTGATGGCTCATCTTTTTAATAGGAGGCAGAAAGCTTTTAAAATGGAAATGTATTATTTGGTCATCATTGATGGCATGTGGTCATAGATCACTAATGAATCCAGCTAGCACAGCTGTTTTACTCAGGTAATATTTGTAGCTTAGGTATAGATATGACATAGGCAGTGTAGGAGATTTGGGTTAAACCTCTAGTTGAAGTTATACCAAGCAGGTTGAGAGGGACATATACATGAAATTCTGACTAAAATTTTGAGTTTCATATGGTAAGCAAACTTTTTACAACACCTTTTGCAACACATAAAGGATAGCATAAATTCTTTAGATTTCAATGTTCATTAAAACTGCTAATGGTTCCTAACTTAAAACACAGAGGCTGAAACCTTGCTAGGCAAATTAGTATGGGCTATCTTACTTTCTTGTACTAGCAATATCTTTCTTCTTTTAGAAAGCATATTAGAATCTCTCTGGGATACTAGTTTATTTTTTTTCCTTTATTTAAGTTTACAAAATACATGCTTATAGAAAAGGAAAACATTATAGAAATATATAAAGCAGGTCATGAAAATTTCCCAATTCTACTCCTTCACAAAGCCACTGTTAACAACCTGGTGCTACTTTCCCATTATTTTTTAGTGTTCATTATTTTACAAAAATGCATATACAGCTTCCTTTTACATGAGCAAACTTTGGACATCTTGCCCTAGTAAGTCTAGATGTTCCTCACTCTCTTCATGAATACAAAGAAATAAGTTGGAGGATCATATCTATTAAACTAGCTCCTTAATGATAGGGCATTTGGGTTAGTTTTAATATTAAAGAACAAAGGTGCAATGAACTTCCTTGTGTACACTTGTCAGGTTACTCCTATTAGGCCGTTTCCTAGAAATGAAGTTACTGGGCTAATGATTCAAATATTCTCAATAAACACAAAAAACTACACTTCTAAAGAGTGTTACAATTATTCTCCCACCTACAGCATGCAAATGGGATTATGTAAAGTCTGGAAATGTTTGAACTCATGGTGCAATTTTTTAACTTGGGAAATTTTTTAAATTGATTGTTCTTATAACAATCTTCTGATCATAGGTGAAGTGAGACAAATCTTGACTGATGGGGAATCAGGACCTCAAGGGCAGGATTTATAAAATTTGTTATTTACCAGGAGATATAAGAATTAGAAACTTTAAACACCTTCCTATACAATCTCCAGAAGATTGTACCCCTTGCTACTGCTTTAAGTATCTTCAGTGGTATCTCCATAGTTATTTCCCTAAGTTTCTATTACAATATTGGTCTCCTACTGCTTGTGGAATAGAATCCAAACTCAGACCATGAGCTTTTCCTAACACGAACCAGCTTTGTATCCCATTAGTCAACTGTGACAGACAATCTGTCCTAGAGTACACCACTCAGGTTCCCGCATCTGGTTTCATCCAGTTAATGCCTCAGCTTAGAACACTGTTTCCTTTGCCCTCCTTGACTTCAAGGTCAGTTCAAATGGTCCTTCCTCAATGAAGTCTTCCCCAGGCCTCTCTGGGAAAGATGAATAGCCTTTTACTCAGTGTTCCTCCAGCATTACACCTACACCACCTGTATTGCAGCATTTCTGTAAGCTAGCAAAACTCGAAGTTTTAGAGATAGATAAATCTTATCTTTCCCTGAACAGTATCTACTGCTGAATTCTAAAGAACAAACTCAAAAACTGCTTTTGAAATGAACATATATAAATTAAGACTGAAAATTTTAAATCCCAAATTATCAGTTTTTAAAGGATTGTAAAAAACACCTGCTCCCCTCAAAACGTGTTGTTATAATAGACAATTTTTAAAAGAGATTTTTTAATAAAACTATTAAGAATTTTGTCTTTAGAACAGTCATGTCTAATAAACCTCCATGTGCTTGATATTTGCATCTTACTTTCTAGGATCACAAAATGTTCATTTTACAAATAAAAACACGGGGGGGGGGGCATAGGGGACAGTTTATTGTAAAATATTAAGCAGCAATGATTCCAGTAAATGAGTTTCTGCTTTATATTCCCGCCAGAACACAAAATGACCGACATCCTCATCAATGCCAAGCTTAAAAAAAAAAAAAAAAACCACCATGAAGACAATGCCACATTAAAATCTCTTTCGCTTGATAATTTCTGGTTTCCAGCTGACTGGATGAGTTTCTTCTGTCTAAAAGTAAAAAATAAATTAAAGTGCTATTAGTTGAATTCATGTTTAACAGAATTCCTTTTTAACAAAAATAATGTATTTATTCCAAGTCATATTATTTTCACTACATATTTAGCAGGTTATTAATGGTTTTAGGAATAGCTAATAAACTTTAGGCATTATCCAAGTGTAACAAAAAGTGAATACATTCATTAAAGATAAATTTGTAGTTTCTCATCCAAAATAAAATTTTCATTTAGCTATAGTAGCATGAAGCTTGTGATTCTAGAATAAATTTCCACGCAATTTAGTATTTGTTATTATTAGTGTACCATTTTCCTAGTAACTGTAAAAATGAAAGTTGGTATAAAAGTAAAGTGATATATTCAGGGTTGGGGTTGTGGCTCAGTGGTAGAGCACTTGCCTCACATGTGTGAGGCACTGGGTTCAATTCTCAGCACTGCATATAAATAAATGAATAAAATAAAAGTCCATCACCAACTAAAAAAAATTAAAAAAAAACTGAAGTGATATATTCACTTAAATCAATGAAAATGATACAGAAATCTAGGAGCAGACACTATTCAAGATGACAAATACCTTAATACCATGAAGATTATTTTTCCTTCTGATAATTAAATTAAGACCCTTGCTAAATTCGTATAGTTGTTATTTTACTTTAAATGTATGTAAAACAATGAACTTACTGCCGTATCATCCTCTCTGTACACTTTAATGGTTTTATCAGCTTCAGCTGTTAATAATCGACTTTCAGACTGATCAAAAGCACAAGCAAATATTCCTGATTCACTGTCCAAAGACCCAGGCTGCACAGCTGCATGAACTCTCTGAAAATTGTAGCCAGTTCTCCAATCCCAAAGATGCATAGTGCCATTGTCAGCTTAAAGGAAAAGATCTAGTTAGTTACGTTTGGTATCCTTTGACCAACAATTAACCTAAACTTCTCTTAATACTGCTTTGTCTACTTTCATCTGTTTTTAATTTTATCATAGATCTTAAAAAGCACCACAAAATTTGACAGTCAATTCCAGAATACTCAACCAAATATCATGCAATTCTCATCATAAACCTGTCTCTAACTTAGATTTATCACAGGGGAACTTAAAGTGAGCTTAACTGTGAAATATACTACATATATTCTGAATAGGCACAAACACGTACACATCCAAATATACCCTCTTCAGGCAAGTTCTGCTATAATACTTATCTCTGATGATTTAGAAATGTTCATTCATTGATTAAAAAATAAAACAATGAACTAAACACATTTATTATAAAAATCTTATGTTACCTCCAGATACAAGCACTCCATCGGAATTTACTGTCAATGTGTTAATAATAGCATTATGACCAGAAAGATTTTGAATAAAACTTCCATCAGGGAATTTCCACTGCTTTATGTTATCTGGAGAACCAGATGCAAATGTGTAACTGAAATAAAAGCAAAACGAATTAATGGCAACGTAAATCAAGCTAAACAAAATGGTGGGTTTTAAAAAGCTTAGTTAATTTCCCATGCATATTCACTGATATCTGTAGTTTTAGCACTCTTTTTTGTTCTGGAGATTGAACCCAGAATGTGTGGTTTTATCACTGAACTATATCCTCTGCCCTTTTTATTTATTTTTTCAGACAGTGTTTCAACTGGGTTGCTAAAGTTGGCCTCAGTCCTCCCACTTCTTCAGCCTCCTGAGTAGCTGGGTAGTCCCAGGCGTGTGCCACCATGCACCCAGCTCAATTTTAGCAAAATATTAGTGTCATATCAACATGCAAAAATATCAAGGTACTTGTTTCAAGTTAAATGAATTTTTCAAATTTTATGTTTTATTCTTTCATTTTCCTAGGGCTGTACATCAAGAGTAATAAATATGCAAATACCTAATTTCACAAAAAAGGCAAAAGAGTGAGCAACAATTCTGGAGAAAGGGAGAGAAAGAAATAGTGAGAGAAGAGGAGAAAAGAAGTGAAGGACAGGATGAAAATGAGTGAAAACAGGGAAAGGGAAGAAAAAGGGAAGGACAGGAGGAAGGAAGAGTTAGAAAAGAAAGGGAAAAGAAAAAATATAAATACAAACAGAAGAATGTCAGGAGTGATCTGATATGATGAACACTAGGATGTGATATTCTTCGCCATTTCTGTGGATAGCTTGACTATAATGTTCATGGTTCTCACTTTCTTGAACTTCTTAAGAATTAAATCATTCTATGTGTTTCTCAAGTCTAATATCATTTATGTGCAAAGCATGCCCAGCCAATGTTACTTTCTATTTTGATATGCACCTTTTGTCCATGATATACTTATATTGTCTAACTTGATAGTATTTGTGACTGTATAAAAGGCTTTCCTCATTTTATTTAGGGCATAAAGCAAAATAATTAACATAAGAAAAACTGAAGAAATGCATGTCCACAAGTGAAACAGGACTGACGGTGACAGCGGCTACATGACTGCCAAAAGCAGTGCTCAAGTTGTTATTTCAGTACTATACTAAGGCATAAAGATGGAAGAGAAGATAATGAAAAAAAAAACACACTTACTGTCGTGGATGTAAAACCACAGCCCTGACTGATTTCTTATGATTTGTTAATGTCACTCTTGTCTTTCCAGCCACCAGATCCCATAATCGTATTGTAGTGTCATGGCTTCCTGTAATGGAAATACACACAAATCCAAAACATAGACCAAGAAAAAGAAGCAAAAGTGATATATGACAACATATGAAGCATTCTTCCACAAATATATACATATTAAATGAAAGTCTTATCATCTCTTGGCTAATTTCATCATAGTTCCAAAACTCAAGGTTGATTTTAAATGTTAATTCTTTTAAAAAAAATGTTAGGTGAAGGAATTATTTTCTAGTTTTTAATGATCCACTGTTAACAAATACAAGGTTCACATCAGTTCTAAAGGTTATTGATCTCAGAGTATTTTTGTCTTCTAACTTTAATTTCCTAGACTAATAATTTTGGCACTATAAAATAACACTAAAAAGTTTTCTAGTTGGATGTTACAAAATTCTGTGTATGAAATACCCTAAAATATGTAAAAAGTATGAAGTAAAAAACAACTAGAAGAAGTCTTAATAAGAAATTTCAAATTCCTACGATTAAAATATATAATACAAAAATATCACAAACACAATAAAAAGAATCACAATGAATGAGAAGTATATGTACAATTATAACATATTTGGTATGAACAGACTATAAATATGAAAAGTATCTTATCATACCAGTAATAATTTGTGGTTCTGCAGCTTGACACCTCACTGTAGCAACTGCATTTGTATGTCCAGATAATGTGTGTACACTGGCTTTAGTTCTCACATCCCAAATCTATAAAAATATAATAGACATACAGTTAAAAAGAACAGGTATTCATATCTCAGGCAGATAACCAGATCAATTCGAGGCTGGGAATTTACTAGATAACTGTGCCTCAATATCATAAAGAAAATGCTTACAAGAAGGATAATGATTTATAAGCTAGGCGGGGAATACAACTAGAAAACAGCTGCAAGGGGAAAATAAAAAGCTGAAAGATAAGGGTACTGAAAGACTAATGGGCATAATGAACTACTGAATAAAAAAGATAATGGACAACAGTTGTGACAAATTGGAAAACGAGAATGCAAGGCCAAAGAACTGAAGCCTAAGGTGGTAAAAAAAAACACATATAAGTCAAGAAAAGGAGGGACTAGGGTATTGACAAATGCAGCAATTATTTTTAATGCTCTGTCAAATAATATAAGACTGATATCAAATATGTATATGACAAGATGCAATACGTTTACAAACACACAGCTTTAACTCATTTACCCGGGCAGTTGAATCTCGACTACAGGTTACCAGCACATCGATTGTTGGATGCAAATCCAAACCATATACTGCACTCAGATGTCCATGATAATGCCTTATAACCTAAAAGATAAGGCAATAAAGTAAAATTTTCTAAAATTAGAAAAATAAACAGTAGCTCATAGTATTTTCAATACTTAACTCTAAGAGTACCTTATTATATTCAAGATCCCAGCATTTTACTTGTTTGTCTTCTCCACAAGAAAACAGGTATGGGCTCCTTGTGCTTACTATCACACCTCGCACTGTACTGATATGTCCGGTCAACGAGAGTTTTAACTTGCCACTGGCCAGGTCCCAGATCTGCAATCAAAGAATATTTTTTCATTTTGTTGGCTAACCCAAAGCAAATATTTAGAATCCTAATGTTAAGTCCCCAAATATATACACACATATACATAAAAAGTAAAAATTTGAAAAATGATCCTTTCCAAATAAAAGAAAATGTAAAAGGCATGCTCAAACTGTCAAACTAGAGAAATGTTTGCAATAGAGGTAAAGGCTAACATTCTAAACAATATGTAAAATATATCATTGATAATAAAAGTATGAATAACATGGTATTAGGTTGGCAAAGGACAACTGAAAAAAAATGAACACAAATAAATGAAAATTTGTATAGAAATTTTGTATGAACAACTTAAAAAAAGACTAGATACCCATTTTTTACTTATGTTATTAGATAAAAGAATACAAAATTGATGGACTGGAATGGATTCTCTGAAATATGCTGCAAGTCATTTGGGAAGTAATTTATACTTTGGATATCCTCAAAAATAGTTGACGTTCCTATTTCTGGGAATGTACCATAACAAAATAAAATACAGAAAAACACGTATGCATAAAGGCTAACTACAGCATCACTTTAAAAAAAATATATATTTATTTATTTTTTAGTTGTAGTTGAACACAATACCTTTATTTACTTATTTTTATGTGGTGCTGAGAATCGAACCCAGGGCCTCACACATGCCAGGTGAGCACTCTCCTGCTGAACCACAACCCCAGACCCATACAGCACCACTTTTAATAATAAAAATCATCAAAATAAAAACTTTAATGTCCAACAATAGGAAAACAGACTGTAGAATATCAAAATTATATATTATGTAACCATTTAAAAAGATACAGACTTTTTATAATATGGCTTTGATATAATGTTAAATGAAAACAGATACAAAGTTATAAATATTTTTTAAAAGATACATATTTATACCTTAACACCCTGAAAAAAGTTTAGAAGTAAATGTACTGATGTATATAAACACAGAAATAAATGTTTTTTAAAATTAAATTTGTCTAAATATCTGATATTTATAGGATTATGTGTGGTTCTTTCACAGTTCTATAAATTTTCCACATATTCTATAAATTAGCCTGGTTTAATTTTGTAACCAGGGAAAAAATCTTAAAGTATTAAGGAATTAGGTTATTATGATTAGGATAAAACCCTTATTGCTTAAATGTCTCTTTTCAAATAGATATTTATTTCAAACTATTACTATTACAGACTACATGCTGAAGTCCAAGAAATAAAGGCTTGCAATACAATTCCTGCCATAGGAAATAATTTAAAATAGTTTAAACTTCTGCAACAAACACAAAGTCCTGTTATCTTTTCTTTCTTATTACCTTTATAGTTCTATCAGCAGATCCAGTAACAAACCACTGATTTCCAGGTTCCACAGCAATACATCGAACCCAACCAAGATGCCCACTGATAACCTGAATAAGAAAAAGTAAAATAGGCAGAATCATCTACACATTAGTCAAAATGTATTCAATTTTAACCACAACCTGGGTTTGAACTGCAGCATCTTTATATGTTTACAAGATTATCTGACAATATATTTTAGAGTGAACAACATTAACTTATCTTCAATAGGTGAATGGGTACATAATTGCGGTACATCTATACAAAGGAATAATAGTCTTCAAAAGAAAAAAAAAAAGGAATGCTTTACTAACACACACAATAACTTGGATGAATCTCAAAGGCAAAGAATGAAGAAAGAAAGACAGTCTCAAAGAGTACATAATGTATGATTCCATTCTGACACTGTAAAAAGGACACAAGTACAGTGATAGAAAACATATCAGTGATTGCCAGGTGTGGAGGAGGGTATGACGAAAAGAACAACACAGTGGTGTTTTGAGCTGATGCAGATCATGGCAGTGGTTACCCAAACCCATATATCAGTTAAAATTCAGTAGACCTATACATCGAAAGAAAAAAGTCTCTTACAATGTGATCATTTGAAAAATAAGATCATGTTGGCTGTACATTTCCTATTATATAAATTTTATTTTATATCTGGTACATTCTGAGTTATTTTAATTTATTGCAGTTGAAAGAATAATTGGTAGGTACAAAAACTCACTAATAAGGTGTTTATTCCTCAGCCTTCATGTTAAATACTTCAAATATTTTCCTATATTTATTTTGCCTGTCCTACACATTTAGTAGCCTTCTGTCAATATTTTATACTGCACTTTACAAAAAATACTAGTATACCTTTTACCCAAGGAAATCTCAAGATATCTTTTAACAGTGCAAAAGCCCCTTCTCATCCCACCGCAGATCACTCTACTATTTTCATATTCATTCCTTCTCCTTTTTCTATTCTTCAGCTCTCATCAAATGGAAAGCAATGATATTGTACATAGTGGAATAAAATCTAGATTTGCTCACCCTATAGAGTTTCCATGGTGGGTGCCACTGGGGTTTTGGCATTGTAGGTGCTTTTTTGGCCATCAGCGCAGAGTTCTTAGTATTGCCAGTTTCCATAACCATCTAAATATGGAACAGATTACATTATCAATAAAGAAGTCATATTTAAAGTTTGGTTTTTAATTAAAAGATGGATTAAAAGGGGATTTATGAAAATTTTTCCCCTTAAATGAGAGAAAAACACCTAACATATTCAACTGAAAAGTCAGTCTAAGACTCCTACTTCAGAACTTTATTTTCTGTATGTTCATTTTTAAAAGCAAGTAAAAAAACCTCAGAGAGGCAGAGTATTAGTTAAGAGCAGACATCACTCTGAGTTCAAAACTCAGCTATGCCATTTTCTAGCTGACTGACCTTATGTAAAAATTCTTTAACTTATATGTGCCCATGCTGAAAAATGAACAGCAAAATGCTTTTATCATGGGTTTCTATTCATCTTTAAATATAAGCACTTAAATACTATTTTAAAGGTAAACTGCTGATACCGATTGAGCATCCTTAATCCATAAATCCAAAATACTCTGAAATCGAAATTGAATTTAGATTTCAAAATTTTAGATTAGGGATGCTCAACAGGTAAAGGCTACACAAATATTTCCAATCCAAAGTTTGAAATCTGAAACATTCTGGTTCAAAACACTTCGAATAAGGGCAACTCAACCTGTACCATCTATTGTTAGTGTACATTAATTTAAAAAAAAAAAAAAAAAAAAGAACATAAAATTCTGCCCTCAAGAAGTTTAAATTATATCCTCCCAAAGATGCAGAGAGCTTGAACACAAAGACTGCTCTAAATGAGAATGAAGAAAACATGTGGTGTGAGCATCACAAATTCATTCACTTCATATGAAACAGAATTCATAAAAAACTGATGAGTTCGATTCCTACACTGAAAAAAAACAAAAACAAAAATATAATATAGTTGTAAAGCCCATACTTACGTCAAGACACATAATAAAATAGCTTCACATTTTCTGTTATTTTTTCCTACAACTATTTTCACTAAGAGCAATTGTTGTTTACTTACAAATAAACCAATTTCTACACACTCATTTATAAAATGCTAGTTGTAGAGCCCAAGAATATTACCACACTATTAGCACTCAGCTTTAAGCACACACCAATTTAAAGTTCAATTGAAAGAAGACTTTCATAATTAGCACAAAGTAACACAAATTTCAGGATAATACTTCCTGTATTTTTAATAGTGCATAGTAAATACCAAAATCACATTGTCTTAATCAAAATACGTATTTCGTGCAATGTGCAAGTAGATATGGATGTAACAGGATTTCAAATTCTAAAACATATGTTAATTTACTAAAACCCAAAGTTTTAGGGCAAAGAAATGTTAATGACTATCTCAAGCTGCTATTTATAGGAACAAATTCCAAGAAAGTGTTAATTTCTCTAATAGTTAAAGGAAAACTTTTGGAATAAAGGTAACAAGGTAACATTCCAAAAGCTAGAAACCTGTTTTGCTATATGACAGAGAATCTTACTGAATTCATCACTGTAGGTTGTGAACGGTCAGAAGCCCCAGGATGTCGATATTCAGTTCCACCAGGTGCAGTACGATTTCCCTCAACTCTGAGGCAAAAGAAATATTATGAAAGTAATTAATACCTCAGTCACACGACTTGAGGCAAAAGAAATATTATAAAAGTAATTAATGCCTCAGTCACATGGTCAGTTTAAATTTTTGTGAAAAGTGCCAAAATAAAATATACAGTTATAAACAACTCTGAAAAAATGTAAATGGTGAAATATATTTTCAATCTTTGTAATTATAAGCATAACATCTGATACCTGGCCTGGGAAGAAGGTAATGCCACTGCCAAGGACTGTGCAGCTGATTCGCTGGGCATTCTTTGGACCTTAGTATCCGCTGTCAAAGCAACTCCTGTTAAAAATAAAATCAGTTCTTCTTAGTAGTTATTTTTGTTCTCATTTATATATATATTTAAAATAAATTGTTAGAGAAAAAGACACTAGTTGGTGATCTCCAGGCAGTGATATTACAACAAGTTTGATTAAGCCTTGCTTTCTTTGTTTCTAAATTTGATCTAATTTAAGCAGCTTGGTATTAAAATAGCCCAATTTCGTAATTTAAATTATTAAAATTCAGATATTACTTTCAAAAGCAAAAAAATTAAGCAGCTACTCAAATACTCATGTTTCTAAGAATGAAAGTTACTATAAGATGCACCCAATCCCCCCGCACTTTCCGTTCTATACATACCACGCATTGTCTGTCCTCCACCCTGTCCATATCATCTATGTGCCAACCCATCTACACACCTACAAACACACACACTGCAATTTTTAATCATACCTACTTCTGTACCAACACTTTTATCATTTTTAATGTTTACATAGTTGCATGTCTGTCTAAATCACTCAGGTAAAAAACTTAGGTCTAGAACTAGAGCAGTCTTACTGCCTTTGAAATTCTAGCATGGTGCCTAAAAATATGTAGCAATAAAATAAGATTATTTCCAATACATAAAAGTTTACTTACCAGGTCCTGGTGGATATGGATGTGTACCTGTAACCAAATACTCAACTTCTTGTCCTAAAAAAGAAAAAAACAACAAAAAAGAAAATATATGTATTGATAGTGAATCTATCTTACATTCAAGTATGATCTTTTAGAATATATCAATAATATTAAGTTACTAACTGGATTTTTCCTCTCCCAACTAAACTTAAGTCTCAAAAATAAGGAAAGTTCATCAGTTTTGTTTTGACCTCAATAAACCAAAAACTTGGTTATTTCCTTGTCCATTAGCTGGTAAGAGATCAAGAAAGCTCATGCATTTGCTAAACAGCAACGGTGTTTCTGTTTTTCATTTGTTTGTTTTTGCGGTGATGGGGATTGAACCCAGGGCCTTGTGCATGCATGGCAAGCACTCTACCAAATGAGCTATATTCCCAGCTCTCCAATTTTAATTTATGTAGAATCTTAGATCCTCTTTGTTCATTACAACTTCAATACTTAATTTCATCTTTCTGAATTATAGCTAAGATAAATGATCTTCCTATAGGTTAGAAATATTCTTCAATTTTCTCCATTAGTCTCCATTGTGACCGTCTGCACATCCAACACATTTCTGCCATCATTATACGCTTTTATTTCCCATTAGAAAAAAAGTGATCAATCAATAATCTAAGCTACGACTCTCATGGGCAAGTCAAAACTTCCATCTTAATACTGGTATAATACTGTGTGACCATAATAAATGCTTTCAGAAGGAGCACTAATAAGACATTTGTTTTTATATTTAAAAAATTCACATAAGTCCTGTCATTTCTGATTTATACTATACTTACCTTGATTGGCAGGATATTGTTTATGACCGTATGAATCCGTTGCATTCTGAGGGCCTTTCTCTTTAAGATTTTCTTTTGAAGTAGGCATATGCAACACAGGACCGTACTCATTACGGAGCTTGATTGCCATTTTTCGTTTGTGACTATTTAAAAATTATAAACATAAAATATATCCTTAAATACTTTAAATATTTCACCAATGTGTTTATGAAAAGCTAGTAAACAAGTACTTAAATAGCTTAGGCTTGTGTAATCATGTAGAAAAAGTTTCTAATTAGATTTTAAAGTTAAATAGTAGAGTCAAACATTTTCAAGTGCATTTCCACACCACATAAATTTATTTTTTGTATCACACCAACATTCATTAAACTTGAGTAATATTTTAGTTACTTAATAAAGACAAAACTTTTCATGATTAATTCCCAAGGATCCAAATAATTAAAGATATACAGAAACTAATATATCCTTTAAAAACCTCAAAGTCAATATACTTTATTTCTAATGTCTAAATCTAAAAATAGTTTAAACCATCTGTACCAAACTTTACTAGATGTGTCTAAAGAGTTCAGTTAGAACTAATCAAAGCACTTAATGAGTTCAATATTTTAAAAAGAAATGCACTTATGTTACTTTTATAGTCCACCTTATAAGTTAAATATAAATGCTTGTTTGAGGAATTAAATATTTTAACAGAAGGGTAAAGGGCAAAGAAGGAACACTGCACATAATGCAATCCCAGACTGGAGCTGGAGATGTAGAACCAAAAATATGCCACCACTCAAAAATCTTCATCATACTAACGAGAAAAGATGGGAGTAGAGGTACTGGCCAGGTACAATTTCAGCTCAGCAAGGCTCTGAGAGCAGCGGGAAGCTGAAAGCACATACAAAGTGATTGATTATAAGATAAAATACCTAAAAGGGGCTCTGCTAATTACTGGATATTTGTAAAATGCAATTAATTAATTTTGAGATTTTATTGTAAAAGGCAAAAAAAAGTTAAATCAGCTGAAATTATGCAAGAACATCACTTCTTATTGGATAGATAACCTATGTGTAATAGTATTTTAAGACCTTTAAAGGTCTTCCTCTCCTTGCTTTCTTCCATCAATATCAGAATTTTAAATATTTTAGAAACTGAAAAAGAACTATACCTACCTCTCTTCATCCAAAGGCACAGGTTTTCCATTATCAGCTACAAACATGTCATGGGTTCTCTTCAGTGACCTGAACACAAGTGTGTGCACAGAATGTTTCTGTACTTCCTAGGAAGAAAAGAGTGTAATTGCACATTTAGCAACAAATTACCCATATCATAAATTAAGCAAAATTACTTTTACATTTTACATGTTTCAATATGTAAAAAGTTTTATACATATTGAGTGCATCACTGCTATTTGTAGCAAGCTACAGGAGTCAAGTTCAGAGAAGAGGAGAAAGTTCCTCTTTGGCCAGAGCCCTAAGTATAGCAATTGAGTCATGTCTGGGATTAGTAATTTATTCAATGAATATTTATTGAGTTTGTACTTATATATCTTGCAGGTATTGTGCTAGAAGTTACCCAGAGAACAATGAAAAGGTAATAATGGTCCCTGTGTTCAAAAGAAAACAGACAATTAAAAATAAGTAAAATAATTCAGCATTTTGAAAAGTACTATGAAGACAAATAAGGGGCTAAGTCAGAGAACACAGGAAGAACTCAATATAATTGAGGTATCTCTTCGATGATATTTAAGTAGAGAAGGAGAAATCCCTGCTGAAAGGACAAAGGGATTATAAAATTACAGTATAAACATAAGAACAATCAAGGCAGACTGCAAAGGTGCTCAACAGTTGAAATAAAGTAAGAAACACTGCACAACTGTGTACATTGGCTGAGAGGGTGGGTTGTCCTATAAGATGAAGCTGCAAGGGTAGGTGAAGTTCAGATCAGCTCAGGTCTTTCAGACCATTACACAGCCTATATTTTTGTTTTACCAACAGAGTCAAAGGAATTCCTGCAAAACATGAACAACTCACATTTCAAAGAGAACAAAAATGGAAGAAGGGAGATGAGCTGGAAGCTAATGCACTAATCCAGGCAAAAGATGAATGAAGCTAGTCTGAATTAAGATAAATGCAGGATACGGAGATGAGTGGATGGAATCAATATTTGAGATAAGACAAACAAGATCTGTTTGTCTGAATGGGAGTTCAAGCTAGGGAAAAGATGTAAAATTTCAAGAATGGCAGGCTCCTGCAGTTCAGCTGAAATGAGAGACATAAAATCTGAATGCAAAAATTGAGACGATCTCTAGTCTTTAGGACCCCTGCAGTACAGCTGAAATGAGAGACGAATTGAACGCTAAAATAGAGAAGGTCTCAAGTCTTTAGGACACAATCAATTAACACTGCAGTACCAGTGGTCAAGCATCATCAGAAGGCAGTGCTGGATCCCAAGGGTCAAATAAGAATTGGATGAATTATCTCAGGCTTCCCGCCCAGACAGAAGCAGCGACTCGGATTCTCACTTGGCTTCCCTCCCTCCCCAGAAAACCTTAAAAAGAGACCACTCGGCCTCGGTCAAAACGTCTACCCTCGCAGCCTCTTCTCGCCCCATATTCCCAGCACATTCCACCCCCTATGAACAATGCCAAAGAAAAAAAGCCCAGAGACTAACAACTCTTGAGTGCCCAAGCGTCACTTTACCTCGACCATGACGCTTCCGTTTATCTGACCCCTCTGATAACGAAGAAACACTTATCGCCAACGCAGAAACAGCCGCCGCCACTCTTCAGCCTCTTCCGGAATCCGGAGCCCTGTCGCCGGACGTGACGTAAGCTCGCGCACGCGCGCTAGTAACGCACCAGCCTTCTGGGGTCGAGAGGCGGGTCTTCCTCTTCGGACCCGCCTCCGGGGCGGGGTCTAGAGCCTGTGGGCGGAGACTCTTGGAAGCGCTTGACTGGCGGGTTTCCCTCTTCCTTCTTGAGAATCTTCCCCCGCCCATCCCCGGGCCAAAAAACAACAACAATGTTTTCGGCCTTACTCTTGCTTGATGGTGCATTTCTCGGAAATTTAATGCTTTTAATTAACAGATCTTAAGAAATCAATTCTAGGGATGATCAGAACAGCGAACCTTTGTGGGTTCAAAGGTCTTGCTGCCTTTGGGGTCTCTTTGGCGCTGGTTCCGCTACTTGGCTGGCAGACTGTTTTGGTATTGGTGCCTAAAAGCAGTTCCTCTGACGCAGTGCAAAAGCACTTCTTGAATAAATGTTGCAGAATTGTTTTTTTCAGTTTGAGAAATTTTGACGTGTAGGTGTGAAAAATAATCTCATTAACAGCATATGGCAAAACCCCAAATTTATTTTCTGCTGCATAGATTTCTTTTAATATCTCAAGAATACAAAGTCTTGGTCATTTCCTAGTTGTCTGCTGGTTAATATGGTATCAACAATTCCAGGACGCAGCTTTTCAAAGCTGGTGGGAGAAAGACAATCAGAGATCATAGCTATTTTTATTTAGAGGCATCCTGATGCCAAGTACTGGTATTTTTGTTTTGTTTCCTACCTAGATAAGATCTGCAGTTTATGATCAATTATGTGCAATTGTTTTTCTGTGTAAAAGGAAAAAAAAATGATGCAGTTGGGCATTTGCAAACTTAAACATACAAACATTTCACTGGTCCTACTTCTTCCTTAACTATGATAAGTTTCAGATCTTGTCACCAGAAAATACTGCTTGTACTTTGAAAAGGAGGAAAAAAATCTAATAAAAGTATAGTAATGTCAATCAATGATCTCATTTAGAAATTCATGATTTTTAAAATTTATTAAAAGCATGAAAGCCATATTTTTACTTGAAAATACAGTCATCTCTGAATTTAAGTGTGTTTGACCTATTATTTTCTGTAAAAGTGGTCAGTGATAGTAGACCTTGCAAGAAAATTCCATGATTATAAAATGCATACTCGGAGAATTAAATCATTTTACCTTACCTATAGACAGTAGTAACTATAGAAAATAACACTATTTTATTTTATTTTTTTTAAGAACATGGTTTTAAATGTCAATAAAAACTGTAGAAACAGTAATATATTTATGGTAATGTAATAACTGTCTACTTGTGTTAAACTGTTAGATTTTTATCATTCTGGAAACATTTAAGTTATAAACCCAGACTCAGAAAAATATTCTAATGATTGAAGTAAATTGCATCAGACTTTGATCTTTTAAAAATTCTTGAATTTATGAATTGTTTCATGCAAGTTTATTTTAGAGCTCATGTAGCCCTATTATTTTGTTCTGGGATCCATGAATTACATATATCATAGGCAAATTTTGTATTTCTATAGGAAACTTGTTTGTGTTTGTTTGTCTTCCCGTCCCAAGGGATCTATAAATTTCATTGGATTTTCGAGGGAACCCAAGCCTCCAAAAACCTAACTAGACTGGCTGACTTCGTGAGTTTCCTTATTTGACCAGTAGATGTCCCTACTACTCTTCATACTGACTCAGAAGACTTTTTTTTTCCTTAAAGCAAATATGGCAAATAATTTAATGTAAATAATAATATCTTATCTATTTGTGTGAAACTATTGATATAAATTTTAAGAAAAGTGTTCTCAGTCAACCTATTTTTTATTATCAATAAAAAAATTTATTTTTCTTCAAAGATTATGTCTTCTGCTCTTGAGCAGTGTTAGGATATGTGAGTGTAGATTTGATTGCAGTATCAATACTTTACACATCTTTATAGGAAATGTTTCCTGATTATCATACCTGTAAAATTATGAATTTACAATTTCTTCTTCTTGTTTCTAATCCAAATAGTTTAGGTCCAGAGTTTCTGCTCTGAGCCATTGTAAATCTATATGGATAACTTGAGGGCTGGGATTGTGGCTCAGCGGTAGAGCACTCCCCACCCGGGTTCCATCCTCAGCACCACATAAAAATAAAGGAATTGTGTTGTGTCCATCTACACCTAAAAATAAATATTTTTTAAAAAGTTGAAAAAACGAAACAAAACTTTGTACTGGGGAAGATCTTCTTAAGCTAGACCCAAATTCAGGGATCCTAAGAGTATTTATAATTTGGTACCATAATTTGAAATACCATATGGTACATGTTTATATGTACATAGGAGAGAGAGAGCATAAAGTCAAAATATAAATGAAAATTGGGAACAAGTTTGCAATGTACATGTTAGTCTAAAGGATAATTTTATTTTTATAAATAGAACTGTTTTAAATCAAGAGAGAAAATGAACAACCTAATAGACAAAGCACATTGACAAGCAATTCATCATAAAAGAAATATTGGGGTCAATAAATACAAACAAGAAAGATCCTCATTATGCCTCATAATTAAAGAAGTGCTAGTCATACAACAATGTGATATTCTGTAACACCTAATGGATTAGTTCAAATTTTAGTTTACAAGTCTCAGTGTTGAAAGGATGAGGGAACGACCTAAAGATTGATTGGTGTACAAATGGAGGCAAATTTTTGATATGCAATTTAGCAGTAAATTAATCAAAAATTTTCACATGCCTTTTGTCCCAAAAGATTAACTTCTAAAAATATAGTTACATATGTGTGTATGTGTGTGTGTGTGTGTGTGTGTGTGTGTGTGTCTTCCTAGAATTAGGCAGTTGTACATACACAGTGTTCATTTTGCCAGGGTAGGAACAGTATATCAATAAAAGAGATCAAACAAGCTTTGTGCATAACAGGAAGAAACTGCTCATCATAGTAGGCAGGGATATAAAATTTGGAGCCAGAATATCATTCTTCAGCACCTCTCTGCAACTTACCAGCAGTGTCATCTTGAGTGATTTTTTTTTTTGCGTGCCTCAATTTCCCATCTGTAAAATGGAAATACTACTACTATGCTACCCAATAACATCGCTGGAGAAATTAAGAGTAAAGTACTGGCAAAAGTGTCTGGCACATAATTAATTGCTCCATATGAGTTAGTTTTATTACAATCAGAATTCTATTTCTTATAAGAAGAAAAGATCTGCAGAAATGGAAGCTAGAAGTGAGAGGTCAGTACTTCCACACAGGCAGCTTTTATTTTCATTCTGAACTAAACTTAAAGTAGGCCTAATTCTTCCAAAAGAAAACCTGGTCCACAAACTCTTAGCAAAATAAATTGGAATATTGAAGAAATCACAGGGAATTGACAGAGGATTCTAAATCTTGTACTCTGCAGTGTTTATCCCCCGTGTTAAGCCTCTTTCCCCAGCTTATCTTATTCTTTGACCCATGTACCATCTCCCTTACTTCTGTAGACATGGTGGAGATTTTTTTTATGCCCTTTGCCCCCTTCTCTAATACAGTTTCCATGTTAACCTTTCTGGTTTTCTTAGATTCATATCTGGGTTCAATTTTTTTTTTATTTTTTATTTTTTTGGAACTGAGAATTGAATTCAGGGGTGTTTAACCACTGAGCCACATCCCTAGACCTTTTTATTTTTTATTTTGATATAGGGTCTTGCTAAGTTGCTTAAGACCTCCCTGAGTTGCTGAGGCTAGCCTTGAACTTGTGATCAAAATTGTAGGTTTAATATTTTTCTAAATAGGTGTTTGTTTCTTTTCTCTTTTGTATGACCATTTGTTCATTTTTATCTATACAGCTCCATGTTTTCTCATCAAGCTGTAACTTTTTATAAAAATTTCATTAAATCTTTGATGAATCTTGAGCCTATTTTACAGAAAATATTGCTAATTTAATTGAAAAAATAGTTATCAAATGATGAAAAGTTTTTAATATGAATGTTACTGAAGCGCTCAAAAATAAAATTAAATCTTTCATTTCCCTCCAGAGTTTTATTGTTGGTACCATATACTTAATATGTAAAAAAATTTAGTGATATGTTGCATTATTGGAAAATATAGCTTTTTTCTCCAAAGTGCACTTTCTGCCTAAAAATAAGGCAGCCAGCCCAATTCCAAAATACTTAATTTTTCTTCAGATTTGTTTGGGTTCCAGAAACCATCTCAGCCTAAGTTATTGAAAGGTAAAGTGCAATAGGTGCTATTGAAAGGCCTTCAAGGGTCTCAGATTTGACAGAAAAACTTAACCATTAAGTTTGCAGGTTTTGGTAGGTCTGCTACTGCAGCTTATGGACTTTCTCTCTAGAAATGTGTATGACTTCAGGCCACCTCACCCAGTTGTCTGAAACTTCCTTTGCAAATCTCAAATCGGGGGAGAGAATTTGATAGAGCTTGGTTGCATAAAAAGTATGTCTACCCCTAGCATGGTCACCTGTGTTCAGAAGTCAGGGCGTCATACTACCAGCAGGACCACTGGAGCTGCACTCTTGACTGTTAGGGGTCATTCCAGGAGAAGGGAGGTGGTCACTACACCCTTTGTTTTTTTTGTCTCAATGTGACAAAACTAGAAGATCAATTTGTCTTTTTTCTAGCTCTTAGGATCTGCACCTGATGAAAGAAGATAATACTCCATCATCCCTTTCCATGTTGACTCCTGTACATAGAGCAGGCTGACATCTTCTAAGTTAATAGTGGAAGACCCTCCACAAGAGAGAACTGCCTTCTCCTTTTCTTCCCTGTCACCTGCTTTCCCATAGAGGATGGCTAACCAACTGCAGGTGTCGCTGCCACCTGGTCTTGGGCTTGTACAACAAAAATAGAAGTTCAGGAGATTAGACAATGAGGAATAGAGGGAAGAGAGGGAGGATAGGAAAAGGAAACACAGTGAGATGAATCTTACATAATTTGCGTATGTACATCACAGTGAATCCCACCATCATGTACGTCCACAAGAATGGGTCCTAGTTAGAATAAGA